AGAGGTGCGCTAACTTTACTTATATTGCGTAGTAACTCGGTAACATCAGGAAAAAAGAATGCAATTCAAATTTGGAAATTATTATCGAATGTCTTGGTCACTCTTTTCAAATGAAAAATGTAGCGAAGCTACAAATGTTGATTTTTGCTTGACTTATATCAATTTCACGAGAATCCCATAATGATGAATTCAAAAAGCTTGATTTTCGAACAGTTGGAAAAAAAAGATGACTCATCTAGGCTACAAATATCAATGTGAAAGTTTTTGTAACGCAGTCAAAACATAGAGCTTTTGAGGCGCTACTAAGCTGCTTCTTAGTTTTTTCCGTGATTCAAAATCCGAACACATAAATTTTAAAACATTGATTTTTACGCTTGAAAATTGTGTTTCTTGAAGCACTTCAGTATTACTTCTCTAATTTTTCTTCATTAAGTCTCATCAAAAGACCTTCGTTATGTTTTTGTAGAGAATTCAATGCTGAATCCTTTGGAAGAAACCCGAAGCCTTTGAGATGAAATTCAAGGCCGATATTGATGAAGCAATCAGACCATCATTATTTATGGCCCACCCGTTATATTTTTCAAAGTTTTACTCTATAGATTCTCTGATAAATCCATATGCTCAATGACATTAGAATACAAGTAATTTTATTCGTGATCAAATTTGAATTATTTATCGTACTAAAACGACAAATCGAAGTCGACTTTGGTATACAAACACCAGATGTTGATTGCATTAGAGATACTTTTCAAAACTTTTGTGAAACTAGTAGAATAATAAATAGAGGTATAACTCAACATATCGATCAGCGGCAGCGACTACGGATATTTCCAGCTTGGGCGACAGTGGTCTAAACTTTTTAATGAATTCTTTTAAAGAATTTTCATATTTTCGAGAACTTTTGAAATGAAAACGAGAGAAGAATAATGATAGAGAACTAATTGACATGAAATCAGACGATAACTAAAAGCTACTTTGAGAGTTCGAAAAATTTTAAATATTAAATTTCTATTTTTGTGTCACGACGGCGACGCTGCTGAATCGCTTGAGCATTAGTATTGGCGGCTCTGCCGATGGACTTACACATCTAGTAGCAAGTCGGTCAAGTTATAAAAAAACCCTTCAAAAATTACAGAAAAAAAAATCAACAAAATTCATAATACTCGAGAAAATGAACTGCAGCTGAATGCTCCGGTGGTTACAACAGTCTGTTCCATTGCACGAGCAACAGCTTACCCAATGATGGCTGAATATTCACAAGATCAAACTGAAGTTGTCAAATTTTGATACCAATGTTAGACAGCAATAACAATCAATTGAATTCACTTTTTGCTGATAAAAACCAATTATTATTAAAACAGTTTATTAATAAATATAAAGTGAAAACAAATCTCAATCAGAGATGCATAAAAATCTAATTGAACTTCAAATGACAATTAATAATGGAAGTAAATTAATTCGTAAATGAATTATCTCAAGCATTTTTTGCAAATATTTCGAAAAGAATCAATTTACATTTTTCAGATATAATCGTAAACATTTTGAATATTGTTTTATAAATAAAATTATATTAAATAAAATTTTAGAGAACATACTATAATATTGAAAAAAGCTATATGTAATTAGCTTAAGCTGTTAAAACGATATTCTCATTGTTTTTCATATCAGACTTTTGGAACATTTTGTATTTCTAATTTCTAAACTTTAATGTTGCATTTAGTTTTTTCTTTCTCTAAATGAAATTGACAACTTAGTTATTTTTTTTCTCTTACAAAAGATGGCTCTAGATATTGATATATATGTATACTAAACGTTAACTGGTCTTTATAACAACCTATCAACTTTTCTGTGTATATAGCAACACAAGAACATCAGTCAACGATTTTCGTATTTTATTATTGCAAAAAAAAAAAAAAAAACAATTTCAACAACAAAACATAATCATTTATATTGTAAATCGACAAGAGCCAAAAACAAAGATAATGACAACAATTGGAAAAGATACAAATAATCCTAATAGTGTAGTTCCAAATGATATGTATGTTAAATTGATCTCATCTGATGAACATGAATTTTATGTTAAACGTGACCTTGCTCTTACTTCTCAAACAATCAAAGCTATGTTAAGTGGACCAGGTTTGTAATTTCTTTTTCTATGAAATAAATCTTTAGCATTTTTTTTTCTTCTAGGACAATATGCAGAAAATGAAACAAATGTTATTCACTTTCGAAGTATTAGTTCACAGGTAAAATACAAAGAAAAAAATTTATATTAAATGTAAATTTAATCAATATTATGTTTTAGGTTCTTGCAAGGATCTGTTCATATTTTGCCTACAAAGCTCGATACTCCAATTCAACAATTGAAATACCTGAATTTCCAATTGCACCCGAACAAGCACTTGAATTGCTCATGGCAGCAAATTTTCTTGATTGTTAAATTTAAATTTTTTAAAAATTCTATATTTAAGAAAAAAAACGAAGTGTAGTCAATGATTATATAACATTCTTTTTGTTCACATTTTAAATATAGAAGCTACGTAAAGAATGAATTACAATTATTCAAATATAATTTATGAAAATCAGTTATATTATTCAACGATCTCTTTGGTCTTTTCTTCTTAAATTAATTTAATAAGACAATGTGACTATTGAAATAAATACAATGATAATTTTTTTTTACTCTTACAAATTCTTTGATTCAATGATTAAGAAAGAAAAATGAAAGATGCTCTTCTAAATCTCAAATTCATATGTAATGAGGTAACTCATAAAGCATGTGCAGATAAAAATTGCATTTTTGATCTATTCCCTCCTCCTTTCCCAATAACTAGACATCCATGTTCAAAAATCTTTTTATCAAGAATCTATTTGTTCGAATATAATACATTTTTTTATATTAAAAAAGTACTATACATGATTTCTTTGTAGATAATGCGTCATAGAATTCTAAGAAGTCATTCTTTTCGAAATTCTGCTCAAAATCTATTGAAAATTTGATTAGATGTTTTTCCAGGATTTCCTCGGAAAATTAATTAATTACTAGCATAGAACACATGAAATATAGGATTTATAGAAGTATAGGGTGTTGATGTGGTCACGTGTTTCCGTGGTACTCCTACCGGGCGTGGTGCCCTATGTATGTTGTTTCGTGTGTTCGTGCAATATATCTTGTACTGGTACTTAATTGAGTTTTCGAGAGTACTTGTGGAAGGTATTATATGGGAAAATGCTTAGAAAACGACAAAAGTATCGTGATAAATGTTCGAATGTTCAAGCGTGTCTTAAGTCTAGGCTTCCACTGTCCGAATCCCTTCTTTCTCTCCGTAGACATTATCTATAAATGGATCCAAAGACATATTGTTAACGATCTCACATGCTAAGCTTACTGTCAACAGTTTAGAGAATATGCATAAGTTAACAGTTAGAAATATTCTCTTTATCAAAATTTATATTACTATAAATATCAGTTATTTATCTGCAAAGAAGTAACGAGTTCAATGAATTTTATTTAATGATGCGTAAAGTAAACAGAACCAAACATAAAATTGATTCTACGTAGTAGAATAGAAGAATCAATTCGTGTATAATGAGTGTAACATGCAGTAAACCTCGCCATCTCTCGTTATATTGGTAATACAAGATATTTTAGATATTAGAAAAGTGTCTTGTTTTTATTATCGACATATTCATTAGAATCGCACAAAAATCTTGAAAAATATTTAAAAACTTGAATCTATCAACAACATTAATAGTTGAGAAAGAAATGATCCGAGTATTCTAAATATCTTCAAAACATTGTTGTTGATTAAGTCGTCGATTAAATTATATTTTGTTTAAACAATCATGAATTCTCTTGTTTATCATCTAAAACAAATAGCCTTCCTTTACTAAAGATTTTCCTCAATTTATTAAACTGTTCTTTTCAAAATTTATAAATGATAAAAACGTACAAAATCATTACTTAAACAATATCTCCATCAATCATCAAAACACGTGTATTCAACATGTATTCTATTGCTATTTGCTTAATAATTATATCTTAGAATATATACAAACACAAACTTTTCTCTCCCAAAAGATTTTTACATTCATAGAATCAATCTTAATTGATACATACACTAGATAGTTACATAACAACTTCAACACGATATAGATCATTGTCGTTCTCAATATATCATATATGATTGTTCTTGTAGCTGAGATGTTTTGATAACTTTATGAAAGATGATCATATACTTATTTCTCGGTATTTGCACATTGTTATTTTATAAAAGAGAACATCACATTATTTGCATATAATCAAAATTTTGATATTAAAAAAAAGTATGATCTACTTGTTAACAACAACAATAACAACATCGTCATTTCGATATATATCTCTTTTTGAGTCACTTATATTTTATAGAAACAAAAGATGATATATCATGTGAAAAGATCATCAGAAATCAAATATAAAGTTTGATAGAAAATGAAAATAAATTTTATTCATAATTATCTCAATATCAATGAATATGAAAAGTTGTTATCAATCTTCTA